GAATCCAGGGACCACACCCTGATTGGTGCTTACAGTGGATGAAAGATGCTTGGAAATTGTCTACTGAGCACAAGACAGTGCTGTAGCATGTGGAGGGCCTCGCAGAACTGCTTCCTTTCTCTACCACTCAAACATCAAAGATACCTTAGCAGTGATGCCTGGGAGCTCAAATCAAACAGCATCTATGACAGAGTTGGTTGAGGTTGAGTAGCTGACCTACACAGGTGGGAAAAAGGCCAGATATCTACTAATTATACTACTTAACATATATATTTTTTTAATTATTGATTAATTTTGTTTAAAAAAAGGTTAATCTGAATGTAATGAGTAAACTAAAAGCCTTAAAATATTTACTGTATGCGCTCCGTTGAACCTTACAGCAGACCAATCTGTGGAAGTGAGACTGACACCTTCTGCCTAAAGATGGGACAAACTCTGGCCACGGTTATAGTCTCAGAAAGTCCTGGATTTGCACAGCCACTCATTGAAGTCCATACTACTGTACATTTTAGTTCATACTATCTATGCTAATAAGGTTTAATTCAATATGGCTGCATGCTTACAATTATAAAGATGTTATAGCATAGTTCCAAACATACAGGGTTTGGCTTCTCAGCTGTATTCCATTTACTTTACATCTATACAGCTCTGTTGCTTGGTTGAGACACTGTGTGCAGCAAAGAGCGGAACGGTTTTTGGAAGTGGGTACACAAGTGCATTTTGTATTCAAGTGGGACTCAGTTCAAACGCCATGGTCTGTCTGATCTTGTATCCTGAGCAGATCCACGTTTATTTGGTCCAAGGATTTTCATGGGTGTTTTGAAGGATCTTGTTTCAGACTTATTTAGGGAACAAAGAAAGGGCAGGTGTGCTACAAAGATAAATGATAGGAGGGGAGTGACAAATCTCGGAATGAGCAGCAGGGGGCCAATTTGCCGCAGTGTGTGATCACATGACTCTTGAAGGGTAGCAGGCACTGACGGGGGTAACTCCGCTACAGTTTTGATCTTTTACATGTCTGTCGTGTCCAGCTTCTGGGGTCACTTTCTGACCCTGCACTGCTGGTCCAGCTCACACTGCACTGCTGGTCCAGCTCACACTGCACTGCTTTCTCGTCTCTCCGCACCCTCGTTGCCACCACTCTTAATTCCCCTGCCGTCCGTCTTACCTTGTCTGCTGAGTCTCCTGTCCTCTCATCCCTGCTTTGCGCACGTTGGCTCCCTCCCCTCATTTCCTGTCAATCTTCTCCTAACCTCCTTCGCCTACCATCTCTTCATGTCCCAAGTTAGTCTCTCTCTCTCACCCAGTTCCACCACGATGAAAGAGAAGTCGACATCCGGCACCTATGGTAAATGGGCTGTGCTTAAATAATGAGTGTAGGAATATATTTGTGTCACATTTGACAGTGACGCTGACACTAAGTAAAGCTGTTTCAGTATAAATAACTGGTGCCAGTTTGTAATGATGTCGATACTGAATCGGTGTGAAGCGGCATGTGCATTTAAATATACGCACAAAAACGGTGCTTAAGATGTGATATGTGCAGGATAATCATTAAATCCTACTGTGCATCTCAAAGGTAATGTATGTGTTTGGTTGCACATTTGTTGTAAATAAGTCAACCGTGTGCATTAATCATTTTACCCTGAGAATTAATCATTCTGATGTGTCACATGAATGTCTTGGTTCTACGAGATGCAGACACCCCACAACAACGCCCTTCACTGCAAAAAGGACATCAGTGCAAAAGGCCATGTGGGAGATCTACCCCAGTAATTTCCAGCTGCTTGAACTTACCATTAGTAGTGCGTGAAACCCTGCTGAGCTGGTACAAGCTGAACAGACTGCCGACAGGTTTAACATGTCAGCCAGCCCAGGCAGAACACAGAACACAGAACACACACCAACACTAAACAAGCCACATTCAGCAAATAACTGTCTAGAGTCACCGTTGACTTACCAAGTAATTAGTGTGTTTGTATTGGATTAGACAAGTAAATAAGCAAAAGGTCTATCAAAGTGAGAGCGGAAAGCAAATGTGGTCTCAAAGGAGAAGCACCAAGCTGACCCAGCACCAGCCCCACCAAGCTGACCCAGCATCAGCCCCACCAAGCTGAGGACACTACTTAATGCTCCAAATGGAGAGCTGAGGCTCCTCTTTCCAGAAAAAAAACATGACCATGATCCAGATTTTTTTGTCAAGCTCAAACTCTGATGGACAACAGCTAGTTGGTCACATTTTTATAGCAAAGTTCTCGAAGGAGAACAACCTGGAGCCAAGACACTAACAGTACAATAAACTGCCATCTGAAATAAAGCCAGACCAAATATCTTTAACTTATCTTTAACCCCTAATTGCAAAATAGTCTAAAAAATTGAATATACCGTCAAGTACATAGTTAAAATACACCATAACTAGGGTCTCAGGCTAATTGGGCTAAATGGGTAGGAACCAATAGCCAGCTGGTGGCCACACTGCCTCACTGTGGGTGTTCTTGCCACTTTCATCCTTTTCACAAGCCTAAACTCTCGTGGGACAAGTGGCACTATGGCCAGGTGCTACACTTCCTGACAGCCATCTGCCCACACACACCCTATTTATTCTGAAAGCTCCCCAAATTTAATCAGGTCTTAGACAATCTGGAGGTGGGCTTTAGCCTACCTAGTTAGAGTCCCTGCACTGCAGGAATCCAGTAAGCATTTACGAAAGCTGTCTGACTTCTGCTTCATTGATAATTAATGTACTCCAGGATCCTCATCAGTGTGAATCTAATTGAAGTTTGACACGCTAATTGCTCATAAATGCCTCAATGACAGGCAGAAAAGGCAGCGTTTATTCGTGAGGCCATAGGGTGCTTACAGCATGAGTGAGGCTGCTACCTGCGTTAACGCTGAGTGTGGAGTCGTAACCCTAACCCCTCAGACACATTCACGTGCGTGTGTGCGGGGGCCACTGCCAAAAATAACATTTTACAACTGTCAATCACCATTAACAGGATGTTAAGCATATGATAAATGAACTGGGAAGGCAGTGAAGTATTTGCGTCCTGCTGTGTGAAAAGGCAAACCGACGGCTTTATCCATGCAGCCTTTTTCTAGTGCAGGATTACGGCGAGTCAGGGAGCAGAGGAGGCCAGTCTATCACAGGGCGAGCAGAGGAGGCCAGTCTATCACAGGGCGAGCAGAGGAGGCCAGTCTATAACAGGGCGAGCAGAGGAGGCCAGTCTATAACAGGGCGAGCAGAGGAGGCCAGTCTATCACAGGGC